ACACACTGAGGTCTCGTCTGTCTGGAGGCAGCGGAGGATCAGGCACAGGAGAGAGCCAAGCACTTGCAAAGCCTTTGGCACCTTAGCCCTGGATTTGGCAGCAACTAGAGGAAGCAGCTGTGGGGCAAGGAAACATTTCAGCGTGAGCTGACTGGTGAGTCACTGGACAAACCTACCCCGCTGCGTGCTGCACCCCCGGAGAGGGGGACTTCGCGCCAGTGCTGGAGAAGAGCTTCCCCGTGGGAGGGTGGTGCAGCCCACGACGGCACAGAGGTAGGGAGAGTTCTGTCCTCAGAGGTTTTTTCAGACGCGGCCAGGAAAAGCAGTGGCTGATCGGGACTAGTGCTGGCAACAGACCTGCTCGAAGCAGGAGGTTGGATTGGAGACCCCCAAAGACTCCTCGCCACTGCCCTGTCTGGGTGCTCGAACAGAGCTGAGTCAGCACATTCGTGGGAGCCTTTAATCTTTGCTTGCTGCTTTGTTGCAATCTGTTGATAAGACTTTCCCTTCAGCTGGACAGCAAAGCAATACTCAGTGCTGACAGCGGTGCATACAGACCCTCAGAAATGATTTTCTGCTATCCCCTTGGAGGCTGGTAATGAATCTAATCGCTGGGTGAGAAAAAGGAAAATATGAAGCCCTCTGTTGCAATTTCCTGCCCCAGATTACAGGGCGCACCATGCAGAGAAACAGACAGAGCTGTGGCTCTCCAGTCTTGCAGTCAGACTGATATATCTGGCTTCACTGTCCATAACTCAACATTTCTAGTTGCTCCTCATCCGTGGTATTTCCTGGTCGCCTGGGAACAGGAGTCTGCAGCAAGGCAGCCCAGGCAGGACAGCACAGAGCCCGGCAGCTGCTGCCTCAGGAGGAGCCACCCTGCCTTGCCGAAACCCTGCTTTTGGGGTGGGGTGAGACCAGTGCCACCGACTTGCTGCCAAGGAGCGGGTGGCACAGGTGCAGCTCTTGGGTGTTTCACTGGTGATTTGAGCTTTGCCCTGAGTCATGACTGAGTAGCCAGGCGGGTGCTGATGGGGTGCGCTGGAGCCATGCGAAGGGCAGTTGGGCAGAGGGACAAGGGCAGCACTGTGTCCCTGAGAGGTGGCTCTCGGTGGCTGAACCTGCTCAAGGCAGCCCTCCAGTCAGCTGGACCTGAACGGTCTCCTCGGCTGCCGTGAGAGTGCTGCCTTTCACCATTGCTCTCCTCATTTCTAGGTTGTTCACCATGAATGTGGCTGTCCTCCTCCTCCTGGGGCTGGGGCTGTTGGAGGCAGAAGGCAGGTGTTTCTTCAATCGCACTCAGGAGCACTGTGTGTGCTACAACCTGTCCCAGGAAAGCATAACAAGCATCATCCAGTGCCTCCCAGCCTCTGTCGTGGAGTTTTGGGGGGGAGACCTGGAGCAATATGTAGCCTTCCCTATCAGCGACCTGGACCCCTCTGCCATTGAAATGTTGGGCTCCCTTGTCATCAGGAAAATAATTTTTGGTGGTCTCCTGGTGCCTGAGATACTCCTCGCCCGAGTCCTGAGGTTCTTCTCCTACACCAAAGTGCAGGAGCTGGTGTTTAAGAGCTGCATTTTTGAGGGGAGGGGCGACTGGGATGAAATGGCAGGCCAGAACCTGCCCATCTTGTCCCTGCACTTCCACAACGTGACATCTGCACCGCTGACGGGCCGTGAGCAGGGCTTCTCTAATCTGAGCCGCTGGCTGGAGACCCTGCAGGAGCTGGCTGTCACTGGCTCCCATGTCACCAGCCTGCCCTGTGGCATCGGAAGGGTCTTCAGAGATCTGCGCTCCCTGGACGTGGCACAAAACAGCCTTGAGGATGAGAGCTTGATACCTGCCTTCTGCAAGGGGGCTTTCCCTCAGCTCCAGGTACTGAGCCTGCAACACAACAACCTGACATCCTACCACAGCGTATGCAAAAGTGTGCAGCTGCTGCACGAGCTCCAGCATCTAGATCTCAGCCAGAATAAGCTCATGGCAGACCCATCCTACCCCTGCCAGTGGCCAGTGTCTCTCCGAATCTTTAACCTGTCTGACACCGGCTTGGATGAAGTCCTCACACCTCTGCCTCCCGGTCTAGAAGTGTTGGACATGAGCTGCAACCACCTCCATGCTGTAGACATCTCCCTCAGCTCCCTGAAGAAACTCTTCCTGAGCCAAAACATGCTGCAGGCTGCCCCCTCCATCATGAATTACCCCATGCTGGACACTCTCCACCTAGACAACAACTTAATTACAGAGCTGCCATGGGATGAGGTGAAGCTCCTGGGGCACCTGCGGAATGTGGCTGCGGCTGGCAACCCCTACAACTGCTTGTGCTCTGGGGCCGGGGCGCTGCAGGCACTGGCGGGCATGGGGCAGCTTGGGCAGGGCTGGCCCGAGGAATAGAATACACATGTCACCCCCCACCTCTCTGCCAGGGCAGGCTGGTGAAGGACGTGCCGGTCTCGGTGCTGCAGTGTAACAGTGCTGCAGTGATTGCCCCTGTCTGCATTGCCCTCGCCCTGCTTGGCGTGGCCGGGGCCGTCTGCCTGGTCAGATCCAGGCCCGGGCTCACCCGCCCCTGCCACAAAGCGTGAAGGGGACGTGTGACCATTCCCACCAGTGCTTCCCCGCAGGGGCTCAGCCCCAGGGGCTGCAAGGCCAGGAGCTCTGTGGGAAGGCTCACAGGACCCCCAGGTGCCAGTGCGGGGCTCTCTCGGTGTCCCCAGTCCAGGCTCCCCTGTGGAGCAGGACTGTGCCCAGCATTATCCCACAGTGGCTGTGGCTTTGCCTGTCCAAGTCTTGGAGAAACCCCCAAGCAAAGCCCCTTGCCATGCTCTGTCCCAGGGCTGCCCCCTCCCAGAGCCGTTTTCGTTATGGCCAACTCTAACTCCTCAAGCGCTAATGTGCAGCCATTGCCCCTCTGAGATCATCTGCCCTGAACAAGAGGAGTTCAGCCCCATCATATCTGCAGCGCTCCAGGCGGTGCTCAGATGCTCCAAGCCTCACGGGGGGGGGGTGGTGGTCCCGGCCCGGGGTCCCCCAGCACCTTGTAGCCCTGTGCCCACCAGCCCAGCTGTCCTTGCAGCCTCTGCGGCCCCTCTGGTGATCCTCCGCCTCTCCTTACCTGGGACCATGGCTGGGCCATGCCTTGGAGGATGTCTGGTTTGTGAGGGTGTCTGCTTAACTGCTATTCAGCAAGAGAGAAAAACCACAAAAGACAGAAAAAATGAATAAATTAAACAGCCCTATACACAAATGCTAACAAGGTGGAGGTAACAGAGATGGCAACGAAGACTCAAGCTCTCAAGGCACTGGTGGATGAACCCCTCAAGTGTGACGTCAAGACGTTCAACCAGAAACATTTAACTAAGAAGAAAATGGGTTTATTCTGGGTTATTCAGAAAACATCTCATAGGAAAGAGAAAATTGATCATGGGATGCTGATGGAGATTGGGAAAATGTGCAAAACTAACCGGGGAATGCTTATGGGAAGGATCAAGGGGAGGCTCAGGGTAGGTGGCTGGGGAAGGGACAAGCATGGGAAAATGGGGATGGGGAAGGAGGGGGCTGGGCGTAGGCAAGCAGCGCTCGCCTGGCCAAGCCCTGCGCTTCGTCCCACGGTCTGTCCTGCCTTCTCATTAAAGTCTGTTCCTGCGTGTTTGCTGTGTCACCTCACTATTCTGCTTGTGCACGTGTGTGACCTGCCAGCAAACACAGGCTGGACTTGCCAGTGGGAGGAAAACCAGAGTGTGGAAAGACCCAAGGCTGGAGCTGGAGGGTGGCTAAACAGGGCCCAGAGTCTAGCCGGGGGTCTGCGATGGGCTCGGGGTCCTCTGTGTGTTTGAGGGCACATGGGTGTGCATCTGCCTGTGGGTTGAGGGTGGGGGTGTGGGGCTGTGCCACCAGCCCACGTCAGCCCTGAGCAGCTGGAGGGGAGGGATGGGGCCGTTCCGCACGCATGCCTGTGCTGGTGGGAGTGTGGTTGGTGGTTGGACAGGTGCTAGCAAAGGCACCGCTCTGCTCGTGGTGACCCGTGTGGATGCATGTACACCAGGTGTCTGCAGTTGTATCTTGGGGATTGGTGCTCAGCCTTGCTACAGGCTTGCCCTGGAAACAGGGAGCAGCAGACACTGTCTAATGGATGAGGAAGGAGAAATCCCTGTGTCCCAGAATCCTAGGATTTGCTTTCCCTTAGCAGCACCCACATGAGGCACAGCCACACCTCTTGTTCTGCTCTTGATGGAGTCCCAGGTGCTGTTTGCTTCATTTGCAGTGCTGGCTCATGTCCAGCCTGAAGACACTTGGGCAGGCGGGGGCTCAGAGACGCAGGGGCAGCACTGTAATCTCATTCTGTAGGGGCAATGGGGGCAGAGGGACACGTGTGCATCTCCCCGTCGTGCCTGGTCCTGTCCGAATACAAGGGCTGTCCTGGGACCTCTCTCCCGTCTCCCGCAGTCTGTGTTTCTACAGACCACAAAGATCTCCAGCTTCAGCATTTCCTTTTGTGCTTTCTGGTATGACTGATACCCAATAAATGTGATTCTGTAGTTTGTGGTTGCTTCTGGTGTCTAGAAAATGATAGTCCAAGGCCCCTCATCTCCCATCCTCAGCTTGCAAAGATGTCCTTCTCGGACCAGCAGCACACCAATGGTGTGAGCAGGTCCAGGTGCCCACTTGCCTGCCATGGCCCCGCTCCCTCCTTGGCTAGCGAGGCTCAGCGTCCAGAACATGGTGCCTCCAGGCTGGGCTCGCTCCCTGCCTGGCTCTGCCCACACGACTGTGCCCGACACCTATTAATAATGCAGGGGAACAGGATCCCCCCGTGTAACCCCATCCCCTGCCCTGTCTGAAACAGCAGCTCAGGGGAGGACGGTACTGAGCTAGCCATGGACGCTGGGGAGGTGAGTGCCATCATGGGAGACATCACAGGGTGGTTTGGAGGGATCTGTCCCCTGCCTGCGGTGCAGCATGGCCAGGCACTGCCCAGCTCCCCAGGGGCTCATGCAGCTCCTGGCAGGTGCTGGGCGCATGGGGCAGGACCTGGCTCATTCCCCTCTGCTCCGTGTCCTGGCAGGCCGAGCAGGATGTGTGCGTGCGAGCAGCCGTGGGACTCCACCAGGCAGCAGGTAGAGCTGGGGCTGGGGACACCCGCAGCATCCCTGCGCCTCCAGCGCCGGGCGTGGGGGGGGGCCCCCCAGCCACAGCCATGGCAGCACTGGGATCACTGGCCATGCTGGTGCGGCTGGCCTGGGAGGCGGTGATGGGGAGGGAGCGTCCTCCCCACCCCCGTGGCTCTGAGCACTGTGGCCATAGTGGGAGGGTTCGGGGACACTACGAAGCCCTGGGACCTGGCCCTAGGCTGCAGGGCGGGCACAGAGCTGGGGCAGGGGTGGGGGGGCCCCTCTGCCCCACCCGTGATGGGGAGGGAGCGTCCTCCCCCCCCCCGTGGCTCTGAGCACTGTGGCCATAGTGGGAGGGTTCGGGGACACTACGAAGCCCTGGGACCTGGCCCTAGGCTGCAGGGCGGGCACAGAGCTGGGGCAGGTGTGGATGCCCCCCTCTGCCCCACCCCACACTCAGTGTTTTCAGGGCCAGGGGAAAGCCAGGAGGCCATCAGTGAAGACACCCTGCAGCTTCTCTTTGCTGGGAAGGAGGTCCAGGTGAGAGTGGCAGGGACATGGGTATCAAGGGGACGAGGGTCCCCAGGCAACCAGATGGGAGCAGGGGCCCTCCCCCAGCCACACGCCACGCTCGGGACCCTGATGGGTGTTGAGGTCTTAGGCTGATCCTGCCCTACACCCCTCCAGGCTCCTCTCTGGTGGGGGCTGGTGGGGGTTACCTGGTAGCAGGGGAAGGGAGGGGGGTCTCCCCCCACCCCCCAAGGCTGTGCCAGGCCCTCCATGCCACCCCTGCCACCTCCATCCCAATGTGCCCAGTTCCTCCTTTACCCTGCACTGGTCATACTGGAATGGGGGGAAGCTGAACATTATCACACTCCCTTCCTCCTGCCAGGGCAACGGCTTGACAGTGGATGGCGTCTTCCGCTTGGATGCAGGACAGGTATTGTGAGCCCAAGTCCTTCTGCACCCCTGTCCCCAGCCAGATGAGCCAGGGACATGCTGGCCCAAGCCATGGGCTGGGGCATCCAGCTGAGGTCCTGGGGCCACTGGGCACCGCTGCCACCCCCTCAGGTGTGCTGGGGACCCAGGCTGTGGTCGTACAAGTGTCCTGCTGGTGTTTCTCACCCCTCCCCTGGTTCCTCTTGGGTCCTGGGACGTAGCTGCCATGCTGTGCTGTGCTGTCTGTGCCTTACTGCCCATGCCATGCTTTCTCTGGTGTGCTGCGCACCGTGGTGCCACACCATCCGTGCCATGCCGTGCCATGCCATGCATGCTGTGCATCTACACTGTGCCATCCATACCGGGCTGCCTGTGCTGTGCTAGCTGTGCCAATGCCCTCTGTGCTGGGCCATCCGCAGCACGCTGTCCGTGCTGTGCCACGCTGGTCGTGTCATGCCATCCCTGCTCTGCTGGCTATGTCTCTCCTACCAGGAGCAGGTTCTGGAGTTGGCAAGACCCCAGCTGGCACTGGTTCCCCTTGGCTACAGTGTGTCCCTGCTGCTGTGGGACCTCCACGGCTCTGGGACCCAGCTACCCTTCCAGAGCATTGTCTGGCAGGTGAGGGCACAGGGCACGGCAGGGGAGAGGTGACAGCACAACTGCATGGTGCTGGGCTCTCGGGTTGTCCAACTGACCCCAGTCCTGCTGGTATGGGTGAGACCCAGCCACTGGTGCCAAGAACCAATGGCTCCCAGCTTGACCAGCTTGTCCCCAGGTGATCAACACCGTCTTCCAAGAACTGGAGGCCTTGGGGGCTGACACACAGAGTCTGCAAACTGTCAGCCTGGTCCAGGTAGGGCAGGAGCAGGGCTGGCCAGGATGCCCTGGGGTGGGGTCCTGTTCCCCTTCTGCCACTGGCCGGACCCTGCTGCACCGAGGGGCGTGTATTGCCCCAGTACTGGCATCCTGTCCCTTGGGATGTACGGTGACCAGGGGCTGAAGACTTTCAGATTCCAGGTTTTCTCACCTCCTCGTAGGACTTCCCAGGCATGGGAAGCCTTGGGTGCCCACGGGGCATTTCCCAGGCTCCAGCAGCAAGGTGGTAACTGGTGAGACCTCTAACACCTTCCTTCCCATCGTGTGGCTGGGCTTTTTCTGCCAGCCACTGCTCCCTGTGGTCGCTTCTCCTGCCAGCCACTGCTCCCTGTGGTCTGAATGTCCCTCCAGCACGTCCCTGGTTGGCACAGGAGCGATGCCAGCTCTTGCTGCCAGGCTGGGCCCTGCCCTTCGCCCTCAGGATGCTGCCAGGTGCCTGCCAAGCTCTGCACTCTGCCTTTCCCTGGCCCTGGGGCTGGAAAAGCTGGAAGTGACCCTGGCAGCTCTCCCTTCCCAGCCCTGACCTGTGCAGGGCCATAAGCAACCGGGGGCCCCGGTGAGTGCGGGATGCCAGCAGCCCCCTCTTTCTGCCCCCCCTGCCTAACGCAGGCTCGTTGCAGGTCAGTGCCCACGACAAAGTCTGGGACCTGCTCCGTCCTGATGGCCGAGCTCTGCAAGTGATGGATGTCGCACCCCTGGGCCTGTAGGTACCCGACACCCTGCGGCTGGGCAGCTACTCCTGGGGTGCCAGTACCCCAACATTGAGCATGGGGCTGGGCAGCGAGCACGGTGTCCA